GTCTCCATATTATGGCCTTGTTTGTACCCAAGTCCACTGTCACTGTTACAGGGCAAGCCAGGAAGACCATTATAGTTTCTAACTACCACTGCTGAGTTGAGCACTTTCAAGGCACTTAATAAATTTTGTCATTTGTCCTAAATATTTTGGGCAATAATGCACCTCAAAAAGCCCTGATACAGGAACTTGTTGAGAAATGTGCCTAGAAAATTGGTCTCCCACCACCCAGCCTTGCAGGGAACACTTGGGAACTTGACGGGGCTGTGCCACCAGCTGTTTGCACCTGGCAAGCAATGCACCGAGTCACAGCCTCCTCAGCTATCAGGAGACCCAGGGCAGGAAGCCAGATGGGTATTAAACCCAGCGTGAGAATGGCAAAGCGAGCTCCTAAGCCTGGAAGACTTCTCCCTCCATTAGGTGGGTTTTATCCCCAGTCTTATGTCTCCAAGTGGGCCTGGAACTGTGTCTGTGCCTGCTAGTACTCTGGTCACCTGCTGTGTATGACCATCTTTTTAGGTGAGCATGCCTCACCATCAAGGAGACTTCCAGTCCTCTGACATCCTGGCTGCTTCCAGCAGCACAACCCACACTTGCCTTTTTGCCTCAGTGTTTCCTTGAATCATTGAGTAGACAGGCAGCATTGAAGGAATGGGTACACGACTGCTTCCAGCAGCCTCTGCTGAGGCCTACAGGACACTTAGCTGTGGGCATCATTCTAAAACTTTTGAATGTATGAAGACAGGAATGTGTTTTACCAATAATGGTCCCCAGAGACATATGAGGATCTCCCAGGAGTCTGGTACTGTGTAGGAGGGAAAGATAAATGAAAGGCAGGGTCACTGCTCTCAAGGGCTTGACAGTCTGGCTGCAGTAAGTGGGTAAAGCGGCCATGCATGCGTAAACCTGACCCCACACTTCAGGCCTGGGATGGTGCTCAGCAGTGAGCTGTGAGCAGGAAAGACAAGGAAACTCCCAGATGAAGCATCTGACAGCCTCTGTGGACCCTCCCGTTCTCGTTCCCTGATGTGGTGTCCTCAGAGTCCTTGAGAAACTACATCAGCACAGTGCTCTGCCCAGCTACACGGACATGCAGTGTGAACAAGCGACCTCTGCTATGCTATGCAGGCAAGGTGTGAGATGACTTCATTGCCCTAGCACAGCCCAGTCTATTCCAATGTAAACAGGTGCAGTACTGTAAGACAGTGTATGACCAACGCTCAAGGAGCAGTGTGGACAACACCTTCTAGGCAGCTTCCTACCTGCAGCCCTTGTCTTTGATGTTTCTCAGCCTGTGCCTTTCCCTTGTGTGTAAAGCTCCTTCCTGCCCTTCAGGTCTCACCCACAAGTTTACCAACTCAGTAGGCCCTTTCTCAACCACCTGGCCGGAAGTGATCCACCTCAAATCACTTTAGGAATCATTCTTGTTTGTGGTCTACCTTTCCCTTACATAACATGAGCATAACAGCCACAGGAAATGGAGTTTTATTTATTGCTGTGGTCCTAGAAATGTGCCTGACACAATCAGGGGTCGTAGTGCACACATGTGGTTCCTGAAGTCTGAGAGGTACAGGCAGGAGGATCATGTGTTCAAATTCAGCCCGGAAAGCTTAGTGACTTATTGAAATCCTGCCTCAAAATAAAAAATTAAAAAAGATCTGGTGATGTAGCTCAGAATGAAGGTGATAGGTTCAATCCACAGTACTGTAAAGACTTGTGCCAGGCACAAAATGGGCACCCTATAAACACCAGTAGAGGAGCAAATGAGTGAGGCATCTGTGCCAGGAGAGATCAGAGGTGCAGGAAGTCACTGAGCACTGGGTTTCAAGACCAGGGTTCACAGAGGAGCCAGTTTCAAGAAGCCTTTTGTAGTAGGGGCACTGATGGTCATCACAACAGCTTCTGCAGCAGGAGCCGACACTGGGGTGGGAACACCCGAGTTGGCCTGGATGGCCGACAGTTGAGTGAGTTGGCTGGGGAGAAGGAGTACAGTGGGAAGGAGGTTGAGAGCCTTATACATTGGTCTTTATCTGTCATAAGAGCAATGGGAAGCTCTCGAGAGAACTCTCTGAGGGACCTGAGTTGAGTGATGCCTGCAAATCTGCAGTTTGAGAAAGGGTAAGTTGGTTCCTAACTACACAGCAGTAGGGAACCTTCTGAGAGCATCCAGCCTGGGACCAATAAGAGCAACAGCCCAGGACAATGTCCCCAAGATCCCTGAGCAGAGACCACATCAATACAGCCAGTAACAAACTCACATCAAAGTAGCTTAACAGGTGTCTGTGTTTGAGAAGAAAATTCTGAGTTTCAAACTTAGTAAAACGATACTTGAATACTTTCTGTCCCAGCCACACGAAGCTTTTGTGAAGAAATGAGAAAAACTCTGGAGTTTAAGAACACTTTATAAGTACTGTAATCACAAAGAACAGAATGTAGACTTCTGTCTCCTTCTGGGAAACTTCCTATGAAGTACCTGACACTGGCTTCACAAGCTGGAGTTGCCTGAGCTTTCTGGGGAGGAGGGAGACTGAGGAATAGCCTGTAGAGCTTTAGTGTGGAAATTAGGGGTAAGATACACTTTGTTCCTGGCCTTAAAAGAGTTAGGATCCAGCTTTGCAGGTAGGAATTGCTCTCTAAGTATTTGTAAGTGAATTTTTGATTGCTGACCTTGTTGGCCACTCTATCTTCTACTCTTTACCGTCACCTGGAGTTGTGTAAGAAAAGCACAAGTAGACAACAAAAAGAAATCTCTACAGCATCCCTGACTTCCTGTTCTTCTTCTCCCTGCTTCCTGTCCCACAATCTTCTTTACACTAGATCCTCCTGCCCCTCCCTGATTGACTTTGCAAGAATATACCTCCAATATGTCACACACTTCCTCAGTGACGTTGGATCAGGACCAGGTGGTCAATGGAGACATCTTTTTCCCATTCTCCATGTCTCATCCAGAGGGAAGGGGCACAGTCAGTTGCAATGTCCTAGCTCAGCGGTGGCAAATCTATGGCATGTGTCCCACAGCAGGCTGTTTGCCATCACTGAAAGCTCTAAAAGGCTCACCTTCACTGTCTTTGTTTGTCTCCCTACACCTGCTCTTGGACAGTACAAGGAGAGCAGCCTGACTCATGGGTCACTCTGGAAAGTGACACGGCATTCCTCGACTCCTGCTGTCCCTACCCTTCTTTTAAGCGCAGAGGTCTTTCACGAAGCAGGTGTTCTGTGCCCTCGCATGACCTAATCCCTGCAGGACTGTACAGCTGCCACTGAGAGAGTAATCTGTGAGGCATTCAGTATTAAGAAGTTTGTTTGGCTTTTCCACTAATCTGCTCCCTCCGTTGTGACCTTTTTCAGTTGTAGGGCTTACATGTTGACTTTTGTCCATTTCTGTCACCTTATTTCTCTCCTGGTTCGGGGACAGGCCAGGAGGATGGCAAAGTTGACCAGATTCCCCTCTGAGCTGCAGCAACACCATTCAGTTATATATGAGAATAACCACAGGGTCCTTGGCCCGATTTTTAAAATCTTCCACCAAAATATAAAGGCAGCTATCTGTCAATTCCTGGGCCTGATTCCCATTGCACTGTGGCCTGGACACTCCATGGTCCCCACAACAGCCACCTCCCTGGTATCCTGTTCTTCCAGGACACACATCACAATTTCCTTCTCCCATATGTTGAGCTTGACTCTTTGTTCCACTGGTATTTACATCCAGAAAAAAGTAGGAAACAAACAAGTGGAAAACTCCCCAACAGGCCCAGTGGCCACGTGTCACTTCTCCCTTGGGGACACATTTCTTGGTTTGTTTCCTTTGCCAGGAAATTGCCGTCCCCCTGCCTGCTCCTCCCTCCTCCACACATGCCCACCATTTACTTCTGAGGTCCCAGTTAGGGGCCTCAGCCTCCAAACCTCCCTGAGTCCCCTGCAGTCAAATGCATTGCCTAGGGGCTCCCACAGCACCAAGTACACTGACTGAAACCTCTCTGATTGCTCTCAAGGACCTTAGGAAGGAACACAGCCAACCCTTATATGTGTTGAAGACATCAGAGTTGCTCTTCTGGTGACAATCTGCCTCAGTCACCAGGGAACTCAAAAGCAGGTGCCACTATGTGCAGTCTCAGAGAAGAGGCCGTACTGCAGAAAGGCATTGACCAAGCAGCACTGTGGAATGCTCCAGTCCTCCAGAAAAGGCTGCCCTGAGTAGGCTGGCACCCTACCAAGTCAGCTTCTAGCTGGTCAGTAAATTAAAGACATCACACCTTTAACTCAGCTTCCCTATGAAGTTAGAAGCTGCTGGGTCACATAGTTCTGCAGTCAAGAGGGAAATTCCTGAAATCAAAGAGGAAAAGGGTGAACCCTGGCCACCTAGAGTAAGAACAGTGAGGAAAGGGTCCTCCCTCTCAGCCTCCCCCATCTCCCCATCTCATGTGTGGAATGAGGAGCTCAGGCAACAGCCGACTGTGGCTCAGATGACACAGCGGAGTGCAGGGGCCACTGCAATTTCTCACTGGCTTGAAGCTGGGAAGTTTGATATGCTGCTTTGAAGTCTTCTCAGGGCCTGGGAAATGTGGGGATTTTCTGGGATAGATAAGACCCTCCTGGTCTCAAGTATCAAGAGGCTTTCCTCCACTTTGTAAATGCTGCTGGGAAAATAAGGAGAGCTCAAACTCAAGTCATTTTTAACAGGAAGTGTTGAATCTGCCTTGCTGGTAAGTGATGCTAAAATGAACAGATACCGTGGATTATCCTTAGGGGATAGTGAGCTCCCTGTCACATGAGGCACTCAACATGAACTGAAGGACAACTGACTGTTACACGGAAGATTCTTGCCTTTAGGGGAAGCCTTTAAGGTTCAAGTACAAAGGCCTTGTACTTTCTCATTTTTTCCACTATGATGCACTCTGCAAAGCACTCTATTCCCATGTATTTTTCACCTGGGATCATAGTTGCAAGCACCTTACATACAGTCAAGGAGCGCCAAGACAAAGACAGGGTTTGCGGCACAGTACCTATTTTGGTGAGCCACTTGGCCACGGCTCCATAGATCTCGTCCAGAATGAGGATGACTACGAGGTTGATGATGACCGCCGTGGCTGTTACTGTCACACGGACATTGGAGCGTGTGGCCTTGTTGAGAGACAGAGCAGCCGCAGTTGTGATCCGATACACAATGACCCCAAAAACGATCGAGAACGTCAAGGCAATCTGTTCAGGGTAAACAGCGAGAGGCACAGCTTAGCAGGAAGTAACTGAGCACTATTCTTCGCCCAGCCAAAAGCACTGCTTGCTTTGCCAGGTATTACTAAGCTGCAGCACCGAGGGAATCTCAATTCCCTGCCCCCCGGAATTCTCACACAGAATTCTGGAGTAGGTACATTTTCCAGGGGAGAGTAGCTTTAGTCTTTAACAGAATTCAAATGGCCTGGAACATGCATATACACACACATGCATGCACACACAAAGGATTAAAACTCTGAGCACTGTGGGGTATACAACACAACCTTTGATTTCTTTCCTTAGAGGGTTTTCCACCTATTATGGAGATAAGAGAACACCTTTAAATCACAGAAAAGGACACAGTATTAAGTACTGTCTTAATTAATGTGTTATCACTGAGACATAGTACCCTATACTCAAGGTAGAGGCTTCAGTCCATAGATGGCTGGCTCCATGGTAGGGTAGCATGGCAGAGCAGTATTGAGGGGAGAAACAGTCCATAGAAGAACAGGCAGGAAGCAGCAAGCAGCAAGCTTCCTTCTCTCTTTTATCTCATCTAGACTATAAACTTCACTGGTAATGCCACCCATACCTATGGTGGGCCTTCCCACACCCACACACAGAACTTGCTAAACCAATTAATGGCCTAATCGAACACCATAAACCCTTAATCTCACCATCACACCCTTAATCCACATTCACATACCCTAGATCCAGTCGTCTTTGAAAAGCCCCGCTTATGACCACATGATGGCATGAGGCGGGGGACATCTAGATGCAAATCATAACAATTACTAAATAAGGAAATTATCGGCTACAGGAACTCATAAAACAGGGAAGCAGACAGAGCTGATTGGTCCAATCACATGGAAGAAGTGGGACCATCCATGAGAAGAAAGGAGACACGAAGGGCTGAAAAGACATGAGGTACATCTTGGTGGGAGGGACTGTTAAGTAAGGTTGCTCAAAGGAGAAAAGGGAGAGGTAATTAAGGATGGTATTTTCAGACTGAGAGTAAACAAAAATTGCAGTAAAGTTTCTCTAGCATTGGCTCCAAATGGAGGGTGCAGAGTTCTCATTTGAAGTCCAAATCTCTTGGTGACACGTTCCTAAAGGAAATGTATCAGTCTACCCAACTCTTAAGTTCTCCCATTGCCTATTTCTAGGACCTTAGACTAAGAGGCTCTCCTAGACCTACACTGAACCAACAGCTCCACCCCTTTCCTCCATTTCCCCATCACAGCCAAGAGTAGACAACTTCCAGAAAGCACGGGGGGGGGGGGTTGGGGGGGAAAGCCCCAACTAAGCAACTGCTGGAGTGCACACCCTGCTCAGAGAAAATCTGAACTTGCTACAAGCAGGTGAAATCTTAAAAACAACAACAACAACAAAAAAAAAACCTTGTAGCACTCTCTTCAAATGAGACATGCAGGTCCTATTTCTCTAGAGGATAGAGGACAGGGGTGCTGGCTATGGAGGGTGAAATGGAAAATGTGAGGAAGGACAGGGAAGTAGGGGGTGCCACTGACAGAAGAAACTGTGCCAGATTTCATATTCTGGAGGGGAGGGACAGTACAGGGTAGAGGGGAATTGCAGGCAGTGTGACACTCCGGAGGGCTGGGAATGGGTTGCAGATGTGAGAAGACATAGATGTCTTTAGACTTCTGGGGATGCTGGGATGCTGACACATGGAGCACTGGTGGCAGACGCAGCTGCCTACTCTGATGTGCTTGACAAATGTTCCTCCTTGTCCTGTGTGTCATGATGTGAAGAAGAGTCTTAGTAAGAAAGGCAGGAAGGTAGTATTCTCCAGGTAAAGAATGTGCGTGCGTGTGTGTGTGTGTGTGTGTGTGTGTGTGTGTGAGAGAGAGAGAGAGAGAGAGAGAGAGAGAGAGAGAGAGAGAGAATGTGTCTGTATGCTGTGTGCAGAGGAGACAGATGGGAAAAACACTCTGTGGGAGGCCCCTCTTCGCCCGCGGACATGTGGAGGGATGACGGCCACATGAGCGAGAAACCTGGACATGACATCACCCACTCCAACAATGTACATTCACTTCCTGCTCCTCTGGGATTGTCACCACCAGACAGTAAGGGCCTGGAAAATGTGGTGTGAGATTCTTTCCCCACAAAATCACTTTTGCAGTGAAGACCAGTGATGGGAGTATTGATGTGGCAGAGGAAGCCAGGCAATGAGACAGACAGACAGACAGACAGAGACAAAGAGAGAAAGAGATAGAGAGAGAGAGTCTGTGTGTGTCTATATGTGAATTTGGGGTTGGAGTTTCAAGAAAGAAAACAATGGCAAAAACATTCTTTACTTTAGAGTCTTAGGGAGGGGTATGGGAGAAGAAGCTAAAGAGAGGAGATCTGTTCTACTGCTTCTCTAAGAGACCTGGCTACAAAGATAGGGAAGGATGAACACTTTTCCTTGCTACTTGAAGTGTGTAGCTCATGAACCTGACTCTGCACCAGCTACCTGACCCCTAGATACACATCCAAAAGAAACTAAGTCAACATTCAAAAGAGATCTCTGCATGCCCACATTTATCGTGGCACTATTCAAAAAAGCTGAGATAAGGAATCAGCCTAGGTTCCCATCAACAGACGGGATGAAAAAAAATATGATACATGTACACAGTGGAGTATTACTCAGCCATAATAAAGAATTGAATCCTATCATTTGCAGCAGAATGGATGGAACTACAGGACATGATGTTAAGTAAACTAAGATGCAGAAAGCCGAGGATCACATGCTCTCTCACATAAGTGGAGGCTAAAATAAACTGAACTGAAAGTAGAACAGTGATTTCAAAGAACCAGAAAGGGAGCCATCATGGAGTGAGAGAGGGGTGTAAGAACAGTGGTCAGATGTGATCAGTGCACGCTGTGCGGATGATGAAAATATCCCACGAAATCCCATCAATGTGTATTTAACATTTTTCATAAAAACAATTAATTGCCTTTGTAAAGGCAATTGATCTTCTAGTGGGGAAGGATTAAATTTAGACCTGCAAATAGATAACACAAACAGTATCTGATGGGACAGAATACTTGGGGACAAATGAGGCAAAACAGGGACATACGGACAGGTCAGGGAAGGCCAGATAGTGTTTTTTCAGCAAGGACCTAAAGGAGGGAAGGGAGGGAATAGACGGAAGGTGTCAGGCAGGCAACTGCTGCACAGTGAACAAGGAGAGAGTTGGGGCAGGAGGTGGGTGGGCACAGGGCACCAGGCTCAGCCCTGAGTGTTCATTTCTGCACCTCAGGAGGTGGGAAGACATTAAGCAGTCTGAGGCAGAGATGTGACATGATTTCACTGATCTTTTTTAAAAAGTCAGTGCACTGCTGAGGTGTATGGGACAAAGCTGGTGACAATCTGCAGGGAGCTGTGCAAAACCAGAGCGATCAGCCAAAGGCCACTGCAGTCACCAGGCCAGGGAGGAGGATTCCAAGGTGGGCTTCCAGTATTCAAGTGGTCAGTGCATGTACTCTGTGCGTGGAAGGAGAGTTCAGGTTCTGAGCACTAGAGGAAGAGACTAAGCCTCTGATGAAAGGAAAAAAATCAAAAAGAGTTAATGCTGAAAGAAAAAAAATAATAATAGCAAAACAAAATGAAAAAAAAAATAGTCCTTGGCACAACAGGATTGAAACAAAGAAAATTCATCTTTGTCACTGCTGGCTTCTAACAGGACAAATCAAGAGAACAACAAGGTACATTTCTCTACTCTCGTTGTCCCATGAAAATTGTGCCAGGTTGTCTGGCAGAGAGACATCACTAAGATGGTCTTGTAAGCTGTAGTCCTGACACTTCTTGCCAAGGATCAGCCACACAGAGTAGAGGACGAAGAGATGAGCATTTATTTGTTCTTGCAAGTCATGCCCCTACTTACCCTAATTTTATGACAAAAATTATTCTTTACTAACCACACATCCTCCTTCATCCTTAAGCAACATACAGCGTTCTCAGGTAACAGAAAATCCTTTTCTTTAGAGGACTAGATTTTCAAAAACATCAAGAATGAGGAAAATTTAGTATCACACAAGGACATCTTAGAAACCAACAGTTAAGGGACTGTGTAATTTATTGTCCAACCTGGAATCCTTCTGAGAGTAAAAAGAGGTTCTATTAAAATGACCCCAGGACAGGAAGTTTAGACCAGGACCAGGCTGGGGCTCTTGAGTTTAAAGGGCTTAGCATCCCAGGGAGCTCATCCCATGCCTCCTCCTACTGCATTCCTGCTCCTAGACTCCAGCCTCAGCACTTGCTGGTGCAGATGGGGGACCCCGGAGAGAGTGAGATTATCACCCAGTTTTTGGTTCTCATACAGACTTTGTGTTTATATCAAGATTTGGATTTAACTAGGTTGGAAAAAGGAAGAGCAAAATAGGATAATTTCTACACAACAATTCCCACCCTCCAGTCTAGTGTTATGAGTTCTCTAGGAACAAGGGAAGGAAGAAAGGAAGGAAGGAAGAAAGGAAGGAAGGAAGGAAGGAAGGAAGGAAGGGAGGGAGGGAGGGAGGGAGGAGGCAAAGGGGAAGGGGGGGAGGGGAAGGAGGAGAGAAAAGAGGGAGAAGAAGGGAGGGAGAGAGATGAATACAGTAGAACTTTGGCAGGATGATTCATTATTGACCTAGTTCCTACTATTCGTTAAATACCCACGTAACTGACCCCTTCACCTTCTCCAGAACCTTGCTAAAATCTTCCCACTGAGGACTTCTCTGCCCAGTGTATTAAATGCATAGATTTGATGTATTTTTAATTTCACTGTGAACATTCATTCCACAGAACCATTCATTTCACACCCAAGCACACACTCAGGTGAATGAGTGAAGCACTGTCTAGCACAACCCAGGCTCATGCGGGCAGCTCCTCTGCACATCCACCTATCGCACATCACCTCTCATCCAGCTCCTCCTTTAATGCAAAGCACAAGTCTGGAATCTATAACAGTCACTTCCTGTTTATGTTTATGGTGCTAAAACCTAGGTGTGCATCCTTAATACAGTTTAGGGTTGGTCTCTTCTGAACTTCGCATGAATAGAAACAAACCATATATATTTTTTGCCCTAGTTTTTCACCCACTATATTGTGAGTTGCTGTTATATCAGTTTGCTCATTTTCATGACTATGTAGTACTTAATTGCATAACTATATATCAGTTTATTTAGCCATTCTCTTGGAGGTAGGCATTTGGATTCTTTCCAATCTGAAGCTATGACAAATAGTGATTTTTTTACATGCATTTGCTGTGCATGCACATGAGTTTTTCTTGTTATTGACTTTTTTAAAAATTGGAGTGCCATTGGCACTCCATGGTGGTTTAAATTAGAATTTCACGATTGTTAATGAGATTGGATACTCTTTCACAGGTTTGTTGATCATTTGAATTTTTTCTTTCATCAAGTAACTACTCAGGTTTTCTCTATTATTTTGGTATTTTCTTTTTTCCATTGGTTTATAATTCTTTATATATTTTGAGGCTATTCCTTTGTAAGTATTTTATCTCACTCTGAGCCAGGCATAGGCCCTTATTTTTGTCCTCCTAGTTCCCACAACACCTGCAAAACCAAATTTGCCTACATGGAAAAATATCCCCAAGGTAAAAGTAGCATTAATGCTACAGTATTTGTTTCCTCGGCTTTTAGCTGTCTTTACATTTCCAACCTAGTATTATTACCATCCTGCCATCCTTTTAAAGCTTTAAGAAAATCAAAAAATATGTTTATCCAATTTTTAAATTAATTTCATCAAAATAGGCTGTTACAAATATCCTAATCCACCACTACTACAGATGGAAGTCTATTTAACTTGTGTATTTACTGATTTTTTGTCTGTAAACTCTTAAAGCAAAGGATTGTTTTGTTTTGTTTTGTTTTGGTTTGGTTTGCGCTCTACCCAGTGCCTAAGAATAGTAGTACCAAGCGCACAGTTCCACCCATTAACTATTTTTTGAATGAATGAATAAATTCTTTGACAACAATATACATATTGTGGGAGGCTTTGAAGTGCTAAATTAAACTTCATATCATTCCAGCTTAACCCACTACAACTCGCCACACATTCTTGAATAAATTCTACATGCCTCACACTTGTCAGGCAATGTGAAGAAAACAATTTAGACCGCTAAGCTTTGACAACTCTCACTTCATCTGCAGAATAAGTAGTTAAGTTAGACATTGTCTAAGTTTCTTTTACTTTTTAGGTTTCAGAGGCTGGGACATGGTTCGTGTCCTCAGTAGCCAACATGACATTAATACTGGCAATAATAACTTCATTCCAGGGTCAGAGTCACCCTCTGACTTGTAGGCCTAAAAATCACTCTGATTTTTGAGCCATAAATTTTGGAATAAACAATCCCTCTTCCACCCTGCTTAGAAATGCTGTGAGCTGTCTCTACACACTCTCCTTTGTAAAATTGAACATCTGCTCCTGAGTACAAACCTCCCAGTAAAGAAGGACTGGTGGGTGAGTGGCCTTAACTCAGTCCATTCATGTTCACTTTCCCTGACGTCTTCTAGTCTGCGTCACTGTTGTCTTACCCAGCCTGGCTCCCAAGAATGAGCTGCTACTACTGATCTGACTCAGTATGAATCACAGGCTCCTCCCTCTGCATCCTAACACAGCTGAAACCATCTGGGTTTTGCAAAAAAAAGCTCCACCAAACTGTATGGGAGAACACAGGGAAATAAACACAGCAACTACTGTACAGGAACACTACAGAATCAGACTTATAGCCCCAGCTGGTTATCCCCTGTGATATCCATTCCATAAACCATTGAAGAGAGCCACTCACAGCCCAAACAAGATGCCATAATTCTGCAGCCCTCTTTCCTGCGTTTCTCCTCCAGGTTCTAGGTTTGACAAGGTCAAGGGCACCATCTTCTTTGGAAGCTCCAACTTCAGACATGTGAGGCCCGTGGTCTCACTATTGAGTGCCTTCTTGCCTCTGAAGAACCATGATTCCACCTTTATTAGCCCCTCATTATTTCCATAGAACAAAGAATAAACACCCACACCACTTCCAAAATGAGATCTACAAGCACATGGTCACAAGCAGGAGGTCTCTTGAGAAATTACCATGAACAAGATGGAGGCAAAGTTCATCAAGTAACCTGGGCACCGATCTTTCCAGTTAAGTTTATCTTCATCATCATCCTGGGGGAGAAACAGAAGACCAGAGACAATCAGAAGTCAAAAAGAACAGAAACGAGTTTGCTGTCAATTTTGCATATATTTACATAGCATTAATCATTTGCCATTCTACATTCTTTCTTAGTTATTGATAACTTACCTTCCATATCAACACAGCACTTCTAATTCCATAGTTTCTAGGTGAGCTGTGATAGCTAAGAAAAACTATAGTGAAGAGGAGACATGGTTTGACTACTGCCCCACCCTGGGCTAAAGCTCTATTTCAACCACTTCTCAACTGTGCAACCCTGCCTCTTCATATTTTGCATCCTCTATTCCTCCATCTGTAAAGTGACCACAGTAGTGACATCTGGCCTGCCCACTTTATAGGGTTTATTTAGTTGTCAAAACCTACGAACATGGCAAAGTGATAGATGAGTGGCAGATAGGATGCAAATACAAGAAAAAAGCCTAAAAACAGACCATCATTGAATAACATTGACTACTGACCTTGGATCTTAATAACTACACAAACTACCACAAGTCTTACTCTCCAAAGAACCCACACATAGCATCATTTGTTTTCTCAAGAGTGACTATATTCACCTTCTTCAAAATGCAGAATTCTGAAGTGTGGATTAAGCTGGCCCATTCAGTCGAATGGACTGAGAGTTTCTCTTTTCCCCTCAGATGGGATACAGTGCACTCAGGCCATGCTCCTGGGAAAAACACACCACTGACCACAATCCGCTGTCAGCTCTGAAGACCTCCTCTTGTAGGAGAAAGCCAACAGGCATAAATGGTAAAAATCCCTGCAGTATATTTCCTATACAAATTTGCTTTGGGCACTTGAATGCTTTGAGTTACTATTTTATAAAGCTAGGATTGAGACAATTGTCCTGCCTACCACGTGAGATGCTTTGGCATACGTCCTGAAGCCACATTTGCAAAGGCTCTGAGCAAATGGCAAAGCACACTGTGCTGGTCAGGAAGGAGTCTGCTCACGGTGCCTGCAAAGAGTTTCAATCACTCCAGCAAAGGATGGTTACAGGCTCTTTCCTCTTTCCTCTCCCTCTTCAGGAAGGCAAAATGCACCTTATTTGAGTCTAGCAACAGTGCCATCTAGCCTTTGAAAGCTTGTACTGTAAGAGGAGGCCCTTTTTGGCCTAAGAGCTTTCTTTCTAAAATCTTTTGTCCAGCTACTATGTGTAGATTTTAGTGCCAGGCACAGAGTAAGAACACAAAAGAAAGTTTTCATGATCACTGCCCCTGCACGGTTCCCAGACTGATGACACAAATATGACAGCCATACACCAAAAGGCTGAAGAACCACTTATCAGCTTGGAAGTGAGGGTCATTTTGGGAGAGGACACTCCTACTGCACGTGCAGGACTGAGCACAGGGTTGAGCTCACTTGAGGGCTGAGGCTGAAGTCATGCAGTAATTAACACTTTCATGTGAACATGAGGTAAGCAAGTCATCTACTCAGGTTTTCACAGTTTAGTAATGAGATCAGACTTCTGGACTACTAGTCCAACAGACTTTTCATCACATGGTAAGAACAAGGTGACAATTGGAGGTTACCATTCTGAATAGATGGGAGCACACATATCTATTTCTCATGGGATTGGAACAAGACCTACGCATATTCTTCTATATTAGGTCATATACCAAAAAGGAGTGAAATTTTTCATTTTCCTTCTGTACTTCCAGTTTCACTCAACCACTAGTGTTTTCCTTTAAAGTATTATGAAAGTATTTGCATTCTGAATGTCAATAAGGAAGCTGGGGGGGCTGGGGGCATATACCTGGAATCTCAGCTACTGGTAAAGCTAAAGCAGGGGACAGTGGATTTGGGGACTTACTGAGACACTGTCAATAACAGGGGGTATAATCCAGTGGTAGAATGCTTCCTTAGTACAAGTAATATCCTGGTTCCATCCCCAGAATTGTAACAAAGACAAACAAGAAGAATGGGTGATGGGGTGGTAAAAAGCGACACTCAACAGCACCTCCAGAAAGAAATAGCAACCGTGCACACAGGGACCCTTTCTGAGGCCTCCCTAGTCACAGTTAAGGTCGAGATGAATGAGTCTGCATTCAGTTCTACTCAATAAACATCATCTGAGCACCAAGATCATGGCTGGAACAGGTTCTGGGCTAGATTCTGAGGACCTAGTGAGAAGGTCCAGTCTGCCTATGAGCTCAGAGATCATCAAAGTTATAAGAAAAAGAATTTCAAAGCTAACTCTGACTAGGAAGTGGGACTACTACTTTGCATGAAAAGGAGACATTAAAAAGCAATTAAATTGGATGGTCTCGCAGAGCTAGTCTCTTGGAAAAAACTCATTTCTATGTAAACATTCTAGTATTTGTTGAAAAATCTTTCTTATGTTTACAGTGATGAGCCTTTTTTTTCTGGGAGTCATAGCTTCCAACATACACAGTTTTCATGCATTCGGATACTATCCAAACATAAGAAGCCAAGAGAAACAGAGAGATTACACTGTGTATTCTAAGTTCCCAAAGTTTCATTAAAGATGACAATAAAGAAAGCAGGTTTTACTTACAAAAATCTGGATCTAATAGTGGAAGCGAGTTACAATTGTCCATTCATTAGTACATTAACAGTATGAAGAGTCACAGCAAAATACTATGAATTGAAGTGTAGACTTCCTACAAGTCCTGACATCACACCCCTGGTACCAAAGAAAGGAAAGTAGACTTGGAGCCAGAACATATTCTAAACTCTTGGTTCTGATATTTAATAGGCCAGTGACCTTGGGAGATACTCAGAACCTCTGTTTCATTTTCTATAAAATAATTATATTCTTTATTTGTAAAACTGTTGTATCTGTCTCACTAAATTACCATGACTTTTAGAAATAGCAAACCTATAAAGAGGGCTACAACAATGCAGGCATCTCCTCTTCCTTTTAAAGGGGCAAGGATGACATTTGTCTCTCACCTGAGTGGCACTGGGCGGATCACATGAGAATATATATGAGAAAGAGCTCTGTGAAGGTGCACATCAGAGTAGGAGTTAATCAGCTCTTGATTATATCAGAAACAGGTGGTTATGAAGCGCTTAGCTAACATCATCATTGTTTAGACATGAGCCAATCTGTGCTTAGTTCTTTGTCTCTGATGTCTGCATCTATTTCCCCAGACCATAACTCCCACGGATGAATCTCTACACAGCAAGTGGCATGGTAATATTCACAGGCAGTCACACAAGTGCCCTTCTTGCAAACTGAGCATTTGGAAATGAAGCAAGTACAAAGGAAATATATGACAATGCTATTTAAACAAATCTCTCAGAGAAAAGAGATTTTGAAAAGAGACAATCATCCCTGGGGGTTTCCCCCTTTATTTTTAAATAAAAATTATAATTTATACATATGAACTGAAGTACACCTTTGTCAATGTTCAGCCCTACAAGTTTCAATACATATTAGTCATGTAATCAAAACCATAATCAAGATACAGCACCATTCCATCACTTTCTAATATTCTTTTTTTTTTTTTTTTTTTTTTGTCTATCTCATGCTCCTAATCCCAGAAACTGGCAAGATCTGTTTTACGTAAGATCTGTTTTATGTCCATGTCATTTAAGTATGTCCACACAGTTCATAGTATTTTAGGATTTGACTTCTTTGACTTAGCCCAGTGTATCTGAGATGCTTCCATGCTGTTTTTTGTTCCCTTTTATTGAATAATATTTTACCATATTAGTGTGTCAAAGTTCATTTATTTCTAATTTATTCTCTAATTGAGAGATGACTGGGTTGTTTCCAATTTTTAATAATTGCGAGTAAACCTATACTAAGTATTCATGCACCAGTTTTGTTACAAAAACAGCTTTTCATTTTGCTTAGGCAAACTGTAACTAATGTAATGGCTAGATTGTACAGTAAGTATGTTTAACTTTATAAGAAACTGCTAGATTGCTTCACAAAGTGACTGTGCAATTTTGCATTTTTCACCAATAACATACGATAGCTCCTTACTCTACTTTCTTTCTTTAAATAAATTTCATTTTAGAATTGTCTCATATTTGCAGAAAAGCACCAGATAATACAGAGAGACTCTCTATACCCTGCACTCAATTTTCTTTTATGTATGCACATTTTCACAACCAATGAAACAATACTGTATATTATCATTAAATGAAGCTCATGCATCATTTATATTATGTAGAAACATTTATATAGTTTTTACCTAATGTCCATTTTCTGTCACAGGGCCTGTTGAAGACAGTACATTACATTTGTCATTCTGTCTCCTTAGGCTCCTCTAGACTATGAAAGTTTTTCAGATTTCCCCTGTTGCTGATGATTCTCTGTGGTGGTTACTTTATCCTTTCATTGCTGAGACAAAATACCCAACACTCAAAATTAAGGAAAGAAGGATTAATTTAGCTCACAGCTTGTGGAGGTTTCCGTCCATAATCAGCTCGATCCAAGGCAAGGTGGTGTGGCAGAGAGGCAACCAGTCATGGCAGTGGAAAACAGCCAAAGCAACAAGAGCAAAAAGGAAGAAGCATGCAGAGAAGACTCTTTCTGTCCTTAACATTGTAGGCTGCCTAGCCTAGGTTAGGTGTAGCACTCACGCCCATAATCCCAGCATTGAACCTTGAATCAGTCCCAAATTCTAGAAGCCTACCCGCATGACTGCATGAGGCTTTGAGGGAACATCTAAACACAAACCATAACACCATATCAGTTTTGAGGAGCACTGGTCAAGTATTCATTGAATGACTCTCTATTGGGGATATTGAAGTTTCTCAAAACTAAAGTTATAACTCTGAGGGAAAGAAATACAGAAGTTAGGGATCATTTTCATCACATCATATCATGGAGACAGCTACAGTATGACCCATCCCTGATGGTACCAACCTTGACATTCTGGAGAATGTAGGGTTTTTTGTATTTTCTGTATCTATCATAAAATTTATTTTTCTCCTTTATATACTTTTTAGAAGGAAGTCACTAGGTACCCACACTTAAACACTAGGGAATTAT